CCTTGGCTTTGTCCCTGACGCGCCTGGCTGGCAGTTTTACCACCCCACCTCGCGCCGTGTCCTGCCCTCTCAGGACGTCACATTCGACGAGGCAGTTCCCTTTTACCGTCTCTTCCCCTACCGCACTGCGTCTCTCCCCCCCCCGCCACTCTTCCTTGCCCCAGGTCCTCCTCCGGTAGACCCCCTCCCCCCTCAGGGTCCTGCTCCCTCAGGTGTGTCCCAGGTAGACGTTGTCGAGCCTGTCGAGGTAGCGGTTGACTCTGGTGGTGCTGTTGGGGGTGCTGAGCCTGGCGGTGTGGAGCCAGGGGGTGTTGAGCCTGAGCGTGTGGAGCCTAGGGGTGCTGCGCCTGAGTGTGTGGAGCCTGGGGGTGCTGAGCCTGAGCGTGTAGAGCCTGGGGGTGCTGAGCCTGAGCGTGTGGAGTCTGGGGGTGCCGAGCCTGGGGTTACTGAGTCTGCGGTCGCTGAGACTGGGGGTGCTGAGTCTGCTGGCGTTCGTACGGGGGCCTCGTCTTGGCGGGAGCCTCTCTCCCCACAGCAGCTGCGCGAGTGGTTTGCTCGCCGCTGGAGACGACAGCGAGGTGCTGCTGGAGCTGCTGGAGGTACTGCTGGAGGAGCTGAAGCTGCTGGCGGAGCTGGAGCTGCTGGAGCTGGAGGTGCTGCCGGAGCTGGAGCTGCTGGAGGTACTACTGGCACTGGAGCTGCTGGAGGAGCTGGTGCTGCTGGAGGAGCTGGAGCTGCTGGAGGAGCTGGAGCTGCTGGAGGAGCTGGAGACTCTGGTCCCGGAGGTGCTCGTACTGGAGGTACTGGAGCTGCTGGGGCTGGTGGTGCTGTCGGGGTTGCTGCTGGAGGTGCTCCTAGAGCTGGAGCTGCTGGAGGTGCTGGAGCTGGTGGTGCTGCGGGAGTAGGAGCAGGAGACCCTGGCGCTGGGGGTACTGGTGCTATCTCTGCTGGTTCTGGAGATGCTGTGCGGCCGCGGCGATACTTTGTTCCGCTTCTTCAGCAGGTTCTTGACCTCCCGCCTTCTACTGGTCCCACTCTTCTCTTACTGTGTCCACCGCCTGCCCAGCCACAGTCGCAGCTACACCCAGCCTCTCCTCTGCCTGGTCCTTCTCCTTACTCTGGACGTACTAGAGGCCTTACGGAGCGTCGTGAGCCTGAGTCTCGTCCTTCATCGCCTGTTCGCGCTGTTCGCACTCGTCGTCGTGTCCCGCGTCCGCGTCCTCCTCCTGTCCTTGGCACGCACGAGATGACACTTCGTCCTTCCACTGCTCCACTACGAGTCCCCCTGTCGTCTCCTCCTGCGTCCTCTCTTGCTAACGGACCCGACCCGGAGTCTGACTCCCTTCGTGCTGCTAGTCCTACTGTCACGCGTCTACTGGCCATAGTTGTCACTGACCCGTCGTTTGAGTCCACTGCTGCGTCTGCCCTAGTTGCTGAGCTTGTTGACTTTGCTGCTGCCTGACGTCTCGACTACACCGCTAGTCTTGTTGCTGAGTCTGAGTCTCTGTCCGTCGGGGGTGAGTGTGCTCTTGGCACGGACGTCCTTGAGGACAAGCAGGAGGAGTTTGAGTGCTTTGCCGCCGCTTTACCTCATCTCGTGTCCATGCTGATTGCCCCTGAGGGAGACCCGGATGCACCAGACATCCCAACCCCGCACTCTTACGCAGAGGCGATAGAGGGTCCCTACTCCTCTCAGTGGCAGACAGACATGGACGCAGAGATGGCTTCCTGGAAGTCCACAGGCACCCACGTCGACGATGTTCCCCCGCCTGGGGCGAGCATCGTCAGCGGCATGTGGATTTTCAGGGTGAAGCGGCCGCCGGGTTCTCCGTCTATCTTCAAGGCGCGTTACGTTGCACGAGGCTTCAGGCAGCGAGAGGGAGTTGACTTCTTCCAGACCTTCTCCCCCACCCCAAAGATGACCACTCTTCGGGTTCTGCTGCACATAGCTGCTCAGCGTGACTACGAGCTGCACTCTCTTGACTTCAGCACTGCTTTCCTACAGGGCAGCCTGCACGAGGAGATCTGGCTGCGCCGCCCACCTGGCTTCACTGGGTCGTATCCTCCTGGTACCCAGTGGAGCCTCCAGCGGCCAGTCTACGGTCTCCGCCAGGCGCCCCGTGAGTGGCACGACAAACTGAGGATGACCCTAGCGGCTCTTGGCTTTGCTCCTTCCACTGCTGACCCGTCACTGTTTCTACGCACCGACACCTCTCTTCTGCCGTTCTACGTCCTCGTGTACGTCGACGACTTGGTCTTTGCCACTTCTGACACTGAGGGACTCACCCACGTGAAGTACGAGCTGCAGAAGAGACACACGTGCACAGACCTGGGTGAGCTGCGCAGCTATGTTGGCTTGCGGATCACCCGAGACAGAGCACAGTGCACCATTACTTTGACTCAGTCACACATGGTGCAGCATCTTGCGCTCTCAGCTCTGCCTTCGGATGAGTCTGTAGAGCCGAGTGGCCCGTATCCAGAGCTTGTGGGCTGCCTCATGTACCTGATGACCGGCACTCGACCTGACCTGGCATACCCTCTCAGCATCCTGGCACGCTATGTTGCTCCTAGGAGACAAAGGAAGGAGCACGTGGATGCCGCTAAGAGGGTGTTGCGCTGCTTGTGCAGTACGTTGGGCATGGGGCTCGTGCTTGGAGGACGGGCTCGAGTTGTTCTCACTAGTCACGCAGACGCTTCCTGGGCTGACGACTTGGCTACGCAGCGATCGTCACAGGGTTACACGTTCAGCCTTGGCTCCGGCTCTGTTTCTTGGCGGTCTACCCGCTCGTCTTCTGTTCTCAGCTCTAGTTGTGAGGCTGGGATCTGCGCTGGGGCCATGGCTGCACAGGAGCTTCGCTGGCTCACCTACCTGCTGACCGACCTGGGAGAGCCACCTCGTTCTCCTCCAGTGCTGTACGTCGACAACAAGGCCATGATTGCCTTGTGTTAGGAGCACAGACTGGAGCAAAGGACCAAGCATATCGCTCTGCGCTATTTCCTTGCTCGAGAGTTGCAGCAGCGTGGTCAGCTTCGTCTTGCTTACGTGGCGACTCGGGCCAACATTGCTGATGTCTTCACCAAGGCACTTTAGCCTTGTGATCATGAGCGGTTCTGTACTGTTCTAGGCCTTGTGCCCATTGGGCCTCACTTGCTTACTTCTTGACTTTGCTTGTACTGTGATCTCTATACATATACATGCATGCTTACTCTTGTTAGGTTGTGATCACTGTATTGTTCGTTCATCTTTATATAACTCTGCATGTGAACTGGCCTTGTGGCCATTTGCTTGTGCTCAGAATGTGTGGTGACGTCGTGATCCACCCTGAGCTTGCTTGCCTCTCTTGACTGGTCTTGTGACCTCTTGTTCTCCCCAATTTGCATATGGAGGTGTGTCAAACTTATATGCTATAGTCTGTGTAGGCTGTAGTAGGGTAGGCAATATAGGGTACAACACTTTTAGGTTTTGCTACTTGCACCCACGTGCTTGCTAGTTCATTCATTCCTCGTTCTTATTGTCACAGTAATAAGACAAGTATTGGCAGGATTCTATTTTGTTTGATTTGCTTTTGTTTTGGTTTTCTATTTCGGGTTATTAATTCGTACAAGATCTCCTAATGGTTAACTTTGCTAAAAGTCATATTTTTATGTATTATTCTTTTTAGAATTCATAAAAGTCTTAATGAAGTTTATTCAATCAAAATTACTACATAACTCGAATACTAAAACGTATCGAGAATTCTGATTTATTTCGTACTAAGGTTTATATTTGATATTCATATTCTTCTTATAATAGAAAAAATAGAAAATTTTGTGGAGATTATAAAAATATGAAAGTACGAGCTGTCAGAACATTATATAGCTTATGCTGTTGTGTAGGCTATAGTGGGGTATCCCATAGGGGGTACAACCCAATTAGGGTTTCCTATATGTACTCACTTCATTCATAGTTCACACATTCACGTTCTCCTTTCCACATGGAATCAGAGCAGGTCCCCTCCTAGGGACTGTTTCTAGGGCCCACCGAAGCGCGCCCCGAGGCGCGCTTTCCTTTTTTTTAGCGACCCTCCGTGTCGCCCCTAGCGGCCCGTTGCGCCGCCCTTACCTACGCGAGCCCGCCGCCCTTACGTCGCGGCCCAGCCGCCCTCACGTCGCGGCCCCGCCGCCCTCACCTACGCGGCCCCGCCGCCCTTAAGTCGCGGCCCCGCCGCCCTCACGTCGCGGCCCCGCCGCCCTCACGTCGCGGCCCCGTCGCCCTTGCCTACGCGGCCCCGCCGCCCTCACGTCGCGGCCCCGCCGCCCTCACGTCGCGGCCCCGCCGCCCTCACCTACGCGGCCCCGCCGCCCTTAAGTCGCGGCCCCGCCGCCCTCACGTCGCGGCCCCGCCGCCCTCACGTCGCGGCCCCCACCGCCCTTGCCTACGCGGCCCCGCCGCCCTCACTTACGCGGCCCCGCCGCCCTCACGACGCGGCCCTGCCGCCCTCACGTCGCGGCCTCGCCGCCCTTGCCTACGCGGCCCCGCCGCCCTCACCTTCGCGGCCCCGCCGCCCTCACGTCGCGGCCCCGCCGCCCTCACTTCGCGGCCCCGCCGCCCTCACCTACGCGGCCCCGCCGCCCCACTTCGCGGCCCCGCCGCCTACGGTACCGGCCCCGCCGCCTATCCTCACCGGCCCCGCCGCCTACGACCGCCGAGCCGCCCTGCCGCCGAGCCGCCCAGCAGCCGAGCCGCCCGGGAGCCGAGCCGCCCTGCCGCCGAACCGCCCTGCCGCCGAGCCGCCCGGGAGCCGAGCCGCCGAGCCGCCCTGCCGCCGAGCCGCCCTGCCGCCGAGCCGCCTGGGAGCCGAGCCGCCCAGCAGCCGAGCCGCCGAGCCGCCCAGCCGCCGGGCCGCCCTACTGCCGAGCCGCCCGACCTGCCCTGCCTGGTGAGCACAGCACCACTGTTACTGCGTGCCCTTCCCCTACTGCTTGCACTACTACACTGTCGTCGTCATGGCTACCCCTAGTGTCCTCGCTTTTGACGCTGAGGGTCGAGCCATTGACTTTGAGGTCTGGGTCGACGACCTGCAGCTGTTCTTACAGTGCGATAGGGCGGACGGTCTTTCCCTCTTTGACCTCACCTCTGGCGCCTCTCCTGCCCCTGCTGCTGATGCTGACCCCACTGTTCGCTCTCAGTGGGCCACCCGCGATGCTGCTGCACGTCTTGCTGTGCGTCGCCACCTGCCTACCACTGAGCGCGCGCACTTTAGTCAGTACAAGAGTGCTCAGACCTTGTACGACGCTGTAGTTGCGCGCTACTCTTCCCCTGCCACTGCTGCCCTGAGCCGCCTCATGCTACCGTACCTCTTTCCTGACCTTGCTGCCTTTCCCACTGTCGCTGACCTCATTACGCACCTCCGCACTAGTGACACTCGCTACCGCGCCGCCCTTCCTGCTGAGTTCTGCGCCAAGAACCCCCCCCCCCATGTACATCACTCTCTATTACATAGTCACACGCCTCCCTGACTCCCTTCGCGTAGTCAGGGACCACTTCCTCTCAGTCTGTCCCACCACTCTCACTGTCGACCTCCTCGAGAAGTCCCTCCTGGCGGCGGAGAAGAGCATCGTCGCTGTAGGAGCCTCTCGTGGTGACCCTCGCACCCCCATCTTTGAGGGGTGTTCTCCTTCCCCCCTGCTGCCCTCTGTTGCCTCTGCTGCTGCTGCCGACCTGCTTGGTCTTGAGTCGGTCTGCGCGGCGTCTGCCCCTAGCGGGAGACGCCGCCCTGGCAGGGGCAAGGGGGGCAAGGGCGCGGGTGGAACTGGCGGGGGCGGTGGAGGTGGCGGTGGAGGCGGCGGAGGGAGTGGGGGTGGCGGTGGGAGTGGTGGCGGGGGCGGTGGTGGCGGTGGCAGCAGCGGAGGAGGAGGCGGTGGTGGCGGCAGCGGTGGGAGCGGAGGCAGCGGTGGTGGTGGAGGTGGAGGCGGCGGTGGCGGAGGGGGTGGAGCTGGTCGGGGTGGTGCCCCGCAGCGTAGCGGCTCTGGTGGTGGCCAGCGTCAGCAGCAGCAGCAGCAGCAGCGTTCGCGGGACATCCCCCCGCCCCAGCAGCTCCGTGAGTGGTACACGCAGCGTCAGCGGGGTGGGGGTTTTGGTCCGTGCACCTACGTCCTTCGTTCCGGCGACCGCGCGGGTGAGCAGTGTGGGGGTGCCCACCCCACCCAGCGCTGCTTTGGCCGCCTGACGGACGCTTGGCGTCAGCAGTTCCCCGAGGCTAGTGAGATTCCCCGTTGGGGAGAGCTGTCTAGGGCTGGCGTAGCTATCTTTGATCTTGACTTTGATGCTATCCTTGCTGCCATGTATGCTGTGACTATTAGTGAGGAGGGTGACTGTTACCGGTGTTTCCCGCCCGACCCGGGCATTGGTACTGCTGCGCTAGGTACTTCTGCGGCTGCTGCTCTAGGTGCCAGTGCGTCTGCACTCTCAGGTACTGGTGAGGCTGCGCTCTCAGGTACTGCGTCGGCTTCGGCCTCCCTCACCTTCACGCTTGACTCAGGGGCTTCTCGCTCCTTCTTTCGAGACCGCACCACACTCACGCCGCTTGGCCGGCCGGTTGCAGTCTCCCTGGCTGACCCCTCTGGGGGTCCTGTCCTCTCTCACTTCTCCACTGTCCTCCCGTGTCCGGCTGCCCCCTCGGGCACCTTGTCTGGTCTGTACCTCCCCTCGTTCTCGACGAACTTGGTGAGTGGTGCTGACCTGCAGGATGCGGGGGTTCACCAGTTTACTCCTGCGAGTCAGCGGGTGACCCACTGCTCGGACGCCCGCACAGGCCGACACCTGGCCACGTTTTCGCGTCGGCCGGGGAGTCTCTACACCCTGACCACTGAGTCTCCTCCTGTCCCTGCGTCTGGCCAGGTAGCTGCGTCGGGTCAGGTGTTTTCTGCTGCGTCCAGGTCTGGTCCTGAGTCTGCCCCCTGCTCGTGTCGCCGCCTGTCTCAGGAGACTCTCCTGTGGCACCACCGTCTTGGCCACCCCTCCTTGCCTCGTCTTCGGGGCATGGCTTCCCGTGTCCTTGTCTCTGGTCTTCCCCGGTCTCTCCCTCCCCTTCCTTCGGGACCCGGACCTTCCTGTGTCCCCTGTGTCGAGGGGCGGCTCCGGGCTGCCCCTCACTCCTCCCAGTTTCCCCCGACAGAGGCTCCTCTGCAGACGCTTCACATGGACGTGTGGGGCCCGGCCCGCGTCCGTGGGCAGGGTCACGAGCGCTACTTCCTGCTGGTGGTTGACGACTACTCGCGTTACACCACAGTCTTCCCCTTGCGCAGCAAGGGTGATGTCACCGAGGTGTTGATCGACTGGATCCGCGCAGCTCGTCTCCAGCTCAGGAGGAGCTTCGGCTCGGACTTTCCTGTTCTGCGTCTGCACTCTGACCGAGGTGGAGAGTTCTCCTCTGGCCTTCTGCGAGCCTACTGTCGTGCACGAGGCATCCGCCAGACCTTTACGCTTCCGGACTCTCCACAGCAAAATGGGATTGCTGAGCGCCGCATTGGCATGGTCATGGACGTCGCTCGTACGTCCATGATGCATGCGGCTGCCCCCCATTTTCTGTGGCCGTTTGCGGTTCGGTACGCGGCGCATCAGATCAACCTTCACCCCAGGGTCTCCCGGCCGGAGACCTCCCCAGCTCTGCTGTGGACGGGGAAGGTCGGCGATGCGTCTGCGTTCCGTGTCTGGGGATCTCGGGCGTTTGTCCGCGACTTGTCTGCGGACAAGCTCTCCCCTCGTGCTGCTCCCTGTGTCTTCCTCGGCTTCCCCCCTGACGCCCCAGGGTGGCAGTTCTACCACCCCTCCTCTCGTCGTGTTCTGTCCTCCCAGGACGTCACGTTCGACGAGTCAGTCCCCTTCTACCGCCTCTTCCCCTACCGTACTCCTTCCCTCCCCCCGCCACCGCACTTCCTTGTGCCAGGTCCCCCCCCGGTAGACCCCCTTCCCCCTCAGGGTCCTGCCCCTTCAGGTGTGTCCTAGGTAGACGCAGTCGAGCCGGTCGAGGTTGCTGGTGACTCTGGTCCTGCTGCGGGTGCTGAGCCTGGGGGTGCTGACTCTGGGGGTGCTACGCGCGTGGGTGCTGAGCCTGGGGGTGCTGAGCCTGGGGGTGCTGAGTCTGGGGGTGCTGAGCCTGGGGGTACTGTGACTGGGGGTGCTGAGCCTGGGGGTGCGGAGTCTGGGGGTGCTGAGCCTGGGGGTGCTGCGACTGGGGGTACTGAGCCAGGGGGTGCTGCGTCTGGAGCTGCTGAGCCTGGAGCTCCGGAGCCTGCGGCCACTGGACCTCCCCTTGTGGCGTCTGGCGGTGCGGGACCTGGCGGTTCTCCGGGTGCTTCGCCTCGGCGGGAGCCCCTCTCTCCACAGGAGCTGCGCGAGTGGTTTGCTCGCCGCTGGAGACGTACTGCTGGAGCTGGAGCTCCTTCGACTGCTGAGGGTACTTGTGCCGCTGGTCCCGGAGCTGCTGGGCCCTCGGGTCCGCCTGGAGCTGGAGCTGCTGCGGGTGTTGGTGCTGAGACTGCTGCTGTTCTTCCTGGCGGTGGTCCTGCTGCGGGTGCTGCTGGTGCTGCTGGAGGTCCTGCCGCTGGAGGTGCTGTTGGCGCTGGTGCTGCTGCTGAGGGTGCTGTCCCTGCTGTGTCTGGAGTCGCCGCGCGGCCTCAGCCGTACTTCGTTCCACTCCTACAGCAGGTTCTTGGTCTTTCTCCTCCTGCAGCGTGTCCACCGCCTGTTCAGTCACAGTCCCAGTTAGAGCCCGCCTCCCCACTTCCTGCTCCCTCTCCTTACACTGGTCCCACTGGAGGTCTTGCTGAGCGTCGTGAGCCTGCGTCTCGTCCTGCGTCGCCTGTTCGTGCTGCTCGCGCTAGTAGTCGCGGTTCGCGTCAGCGTCCTCCTCCTGTCCCTGGCACGCACCGGATGTCTTTGCGTCCGTCCACTGCTCCTCTGCGTGCCCCTTTGCCTTCTCCTCCTGAGTCCTCCCTTCCTGCACTTACCGACCCAGAGTCCGACTCTCTTCGTGCTGCTAGTCCTACTGTCACACGTCTCCTTGCTACTGTCGTCACTGACCCCTCTTTTGAGTCCACTGCTGCGTCTGCGCTTGCTGCTGAGCTCGTCGACTTTGCTGCTCGCTGTCGTCTAGACTACGCTGCCGGTCTTGTTGCTGAGTCTGCGTCTGTCTGTCCTCCGTCCGTCGGGGGTGAGTGTGCTCTTGGCACGGACGTCCTTGAGGACAGGCAGGAGGAGTTCCAGTGTCTGGCTGCTGCTTCACCTCATCTCGCGTCCGTACTACTTGCCCCTGAGGGAGACCCGGATGCACTAGACATCCTGACTCCGCGCTCTTACGCGGAGGCCGTAGAGGGTCCCTACTCCTCTCAGTGGCAGGCAGCTATGGATGCAGAGATGGCGTCCTGGAAGTCCACAGGCACCTACGTTGACGCGGTGCCCCCTCCTGGGGCGAACATCGTCAGTGGCATGTGGATCTTCAGGGTGAAGCGGCCGCCGGGCTCTCCACCTGTCTTCAAGGCGCGGTACGTCGCTCGTGGCTTCAGTCAGCGGCAGGGAGTTGACTACTTTCAGACCTTCTCTCCCACCCCGAAGATGACCACTCTTCGGTTGCTGCTGCACATAGCCGCTCAGCGCAACTACGAGCTCCACTCTCTTGACTTCAGCACTGCTTTCTTGCAGGGTAGCCTGCACGAGGAGATCTGGCTGCGCCGTCCACCTGGCTTCACTGGGACTTTCCCTCCTGGCACCCAGTGGAGCCTCCGACGGCCAGTCTACGGTCTCCGCCAGGCACCGCGTGAGTGGCACGACACACTGAGGACTACGCTTGCGGCTCTTGGGTTTGCTCCCTCTACTGCTGACCCGTCGTTGTTTCTGCGCACCGACACTTCTTTGCCGCTGTTCTACATCCTCGTGTACGTCGACGACTTGGTCTTTGCCACAGCTGACACTGCTGGACTAGCCTACGTGAAGTCCGAGCTGCAGAAGAGACACACGTGCACAGACCTGGGTGAACTGCGCAGCTACCTTGGCTTGCAGATCACTCGGGACAGAGCACGCCGCACCATTACCTTGACTCAGTCACACATGGTGCAGCAGGTCCTTCAGCGCTTCGGCTTCACGTACTCCTCGCCTCAGGCCACTCCTCTGTCTACTCGCCACTCGCTCTCAGCTCTGCCTTCGGATGAGTCCGTAGAGTCGAGTGGCCCGTACCCAGAGCTTGTTGGCTGCCTCATGTACCTGATGACCTGCACACGACCTGACCTTGCATACCCTCTTAGCATTCTTGCACGCTATGTTGCTCCTGGGAGACACCGACCAGAGCACATGGCTGCAGCGAAGAGGGTGTTGCGCTACTTGTGCAGTACGTCGGGCATGGGGCTAGTGCTTGGAGGGCGGAGTCCAGTGGTCCTCACTGGGCACGCGGACGCTTCTTGGGCTGACGACCAGGCTACACAGCGGTCGTCGCAGGGTTACACCTTCAGTCTTGGTTCCGGCTCTGTCTCGTGGCGGGCTACTCGCTCGTCCTCTGTTCTCGGCTCCAGTTGTGAGGCTGAGATCTACGCCGGGGCCATGGCTGCACAGGAGCTTCGCTGGCTCACCTACCTGCTGACTGACCTTGGAGAGCAGCCTCGTTCTCCTCCAGTGCTGTACGTAGACAACAAGGCCATGCTGGCCTTGTGTCGAGAGCAGCGCTTGGAGCACAGAACGAAGCACATTGCTCTCCGTTACGTTCTTGCTCGTGAGCTGCAGCAGCGTGGTCAGTTGCGACTTGCGTACGTGGCCTCTGAGGCCAACACTGCTGATGTGTTCACCAAGGCACTTGCGCCTTGTGACCATCAGCGCTTCTGCGCTCAGTTGGGTCTTGTACCTGTCTTGCCTCACTTGCTCTCCTCTTGACCTTGCTTGTACTGTCGCATATATATACCTGCTCTTGCTTGTCTAGCTCTATATATATATGTGTCCTCCTGCATGTGAACTGGCCTTGTGGCCTTGTCGTTGTGCTCGGACTGTGTGGTGACTTTGTGATCCACCCTGAGCTTGCTGTGCTTTGCATGACTGGTCTTGTGACCCCTTGTTCTCCCCCACTTTGCCTATGGGGGTGTGTCAGAACATTATATAGCTTATGCTGTTGTGTAGGCTATAGTGGGGTATCCCATAGGGGGTACAACCCAATTAGGGTTTCCTATATGTACTCACTTCATTCATAGTTCACACATTCACGTTCTCCTTTCCAGACGAGCTTCAGTTCGAAAGATTTGTGAAAATTGTCGTTTGATTCGCAGGCGAGGTAGAGGTATGGTGGTTTGTTCAAATCCCAAACACAAACAACGTCAAGGATAATATCTTCATGATTCCATTTTCTTGCTTCTCTTATCCTAGATTCCTTACAATTCGATCACCTCGTTTTTTAGACTTGCAGATCATTGTGTATGTATTCTGAACAATAATTTACTATCTTGTAAAAAAAGTTTTACACATAGATTTTTTTTTACCAATAAGACTTTGGTATTTAAATTCTTTATATAATGAAAACATAAATGAATATTGCTTATGCAATTCTATCATTCACAAATATGTCGATGGCTTTTAAGTTCTCCATATCATGCCCTAAATAAAGCATATCAAGCAAGCAAAAGAGTTTGTAATATTCAGAAATATTATTTATCTTATAAAAATTCAATCGGAACTTCTTCAAGACGTTCCTGGTACAATGTAGCTGTCTATATAGATAGTGTATTAAATCAATCTGCTTCGCAAATTTATTGGGGAATATTAGAATTTATAAAAACTAAATATTTATGTAATCTGATTAAAAAAAAAAAAATCCAGGATAAAATGCCACACTCGGTTCGTGTGGGTGGTGCCAGTCGCTAAGAAGAGCGGCGTGCTGCAGGAGATTCAGCAGTGACTAATGCTGGTAGAGCAGCAGACAAAAAAGTCGGTGCTGATGCTCCGCTCAGACCGGGGAGGGGAGTTCCTCGGAAAGGAGTTCACCGCCTTCGTCAATGGGAATGGCATCATCCACGACCTAACACACCCCTACACTTCGCTACAAAACAGCATGGTGGAGCGGGAGATGCGTACGGTGGTTGAGTCGGTGCGGACGATGCTGCTGCACTTGGGCGCGCAGCACCAGTGGTAAGACCTCGCTCTACAAGAAGCTGTCTACGTGCACAACTGTTTGGAGCAATCGACGACGCCGCCGGGGGCGACTCCGTACCAGGTGCTGACCAGGAAGAAGCCA